GGTTTAGGGGGGTTAGGTTTAGGTTTTGGGGTTAATTTTAGGTTTAGCGTTTACAGCGTGCTTCTGTCTCCGCGCTGTTGATGACATCAGCTACGCAGTTTCGTCGAGCGCGGTTTAGTTGAACGCGGTTTTGTGGTGGAACCACTATACTCAATCTGGTTAGGTGATTGGAGGGTTATAATCCAACATTTCTGGAGTACAGATTGGACAAGGCCAATCCACATATTTTGCTAATTGTGTGTTCCAGTTTTTTTTTTAAATTTTCATACTTTATCCTGGGGGTGGGGAGGTTTGGGGGTGGGGAGGGTTCATCATGAGAAAGGGGCAATGAGGACTACTGAAAGCTCTCCCTTAAATCCCAGGCTCTCGGGCACAAATAAAGCATTCAAATCCCACTTTGGGGCAATACACTCCCATCAACTCATTCCAATATTCAGATATCTACTTCGGAGGAAGCTATAATTCAGCATGAATGTTCTTGCTTGCTGATAAGGAAATTGGGAATTAAAAGCCTGGAGGAAGCAGTTCAGGTTAAGCAATGCATGGCAAACATCTTGCACTGCCACTTCGAAAAGTATTTTTTAGACCAAACAGCAAGTCAGAAGCAGCTTTTCAAGTTTCTTTAGTACCCAAAGATACCATGATGCTATCTAAAATTTTGATCAAGTAAAATTTCCACCTCAAATAGCACTCACATGGCAATCGTAAGTTACAGCCTAATTCATTGGATGCTATTTAAAAACAATTCTTCAGTGAACAACATAGCAGAACTGGTCTAATTCCAGCACAGTCAAGATAACTTCCTTTCCACACAATATGTAGACTATATCCTTTTAGGCCTTAAGTAGAGTCATTTCAGTGCCCTCTGGATGTGATGAACCTCAGCTTCTAGAATCCCTAGCTAAAAATAAGTGAAGTTCAAGACACACGGAGGACACCTGGTTGGGGAAAAATACTCTGAACACTGAAAAATACTCAAACTTAAGAATTAAATTTCTGCTTTCCTGCCTGCCAGTTCCTGAAATCAAATCAAACTTATAAACAATATATTGCACACTGTCAGTCATAGTCACACAACCATGTCACACAAATTAGCAGTAAACATATGGCTTCAGAATTTATTATTGGAGGCATAGAGGCAATACTCTGGTTCTCTTTGCAATGGGCACCGACAGAGAAAAGAATGGGGTTCCCAGGCTTCTTGGGGGGATAGTGAGGATAGACAGATTAGTTTATCAAAGGAACCCGGGGATTTGACATGTGATAACTGACAGGTTTATTGATGTTCAAACCAGAAACAGCTTTGATCAACATTCCCACAAAAAAGTGAAAGATGATCTAAAGTTTCTATAGTTTTGTGTCTACAATTTATGTATTAAAGCCGATTTCCCTAGCTACCAATAATTTTTTGTCAGTTCGGTTTCCGTTTCAAAGATGTAAATAAAACAAGGCTCTTTCTTTACATATTTTTCTATTAAAATATTCAGGAAATTGTCAATTTGATCATTTTTTCAAACTTAAAAAGGGAAACCTTCCCAATTATCTAATACACAACTATTTTGTATTTGTTTTGTATCCCCAACTATTTAATGGATTCTCTTCTGGGGAATCTTTTAGATTAAAAATATTTTGAACAAGTAAAATCAGAATACTAAGGGGTAAAACTTCTTTAAAATTCCCACAACGCAGAAAATAGAGAAGCAAACACGTGTTTCAAGCTATCTCAAGATATTCAATTATTACAGGGGGTTGTAAAATCCTTTCTCCCCCCCCCCTACAATATTAAAATTTGTGGCTCCAAATTCCTAATGTTAAAATGACGGATAATAAAAGTATACACGAATGTAACACAGGCAATCCCCAGGAGATAGGCTTCAAGTGTCTGCGTGTCTGCAGAACAGGCTAAAATCATGAGATGCCATTAAAAAGAGAAAGAACAAATAAAAAGTTTTTTTTAAAAAAACCTAATGTTTGAAGTTGGATGAGCATGGGGAAACTGTTCCCTTGATATTCTTTGGGAATGATTTTATGAGCAGTGTCACAAAACCATAGATAAAGGTGGGCAGTTGCCTTATTGGACAACGGCAAAAAAAAAAAAAAAAATACAGGATAGAAGAAAAAACATAGGATCTTTGTGCATAGAATTACAAGATATTCCATAACTCTGGCACAGCCTCTCCGGCACAGGAACAAATATCAAACAGATCATCAGAAGGCATATCACTCACCTAAGACAAGTCACCCTTTTTGAATAGGGATGGACAACTAAACTGATTTCAAAATGACACTGAAGGAAGGGAAGAGTATCAGCAACAGAATTAATC